CCCGTGCGGGGCGCTGAGGAGTAAACTGAGGCCCAGGCTCTCACGGGCAGGGAGCCCAGCCGGGAGCCCGGGCACTGAACCGCGGAGGGACGCTGGTCCCGCTCTGTGCCCGCAGTAGGCAGGTGGTGCTTGGGGACGTGAACTGTTTCCTTCCGGGCCACGCCACCGGAGCGGGGAAACTGAGGTCGGGGCCAAGGGAGGCGCCAGAGGTCACAGAGCCGCTAGTGCCCCCCCCACCCCGCTCCAAATCCCCCCCCCCGAAGGGTCCCGCAGCCTCCCACGGGAAGGGGCCGGGGCCGGGACGCTCCCGTCCCGGAACGTTTTCCCGTCAGCAGCCTTCGTCGCCAGGAGAAACCGGCGGCACGCCCGGGGACCCCACCCGCAGCCAGCTGCAAGGCACCGGGCCAGGCAAACGCGACTTGTTCCCAGGAACTCCCTCCCCCGCCTTCACCCCGGTGCCACCTCCGCCCCCGCCCGGCCCCGCCGTGCGCCTGCGCGCCCCGGCCGAGGAGCCCTGGGCCGGCTCCTCACATGGGCCTCCACATGGCTCCGCCGCGTCAGCGACGGGGCGGGGCCTCGCGCCCGCCACGCCCCCGGTACCCCGCCCTCTCCAGGGAGCGCACGACCCTGGCCTGGCGCATGCGCCTCCTCTCCCAGCCAGCCGCCGACGGGCCTGCAGGGCCGCGTGCTGTGTGCGCACGCGCGCACTGTGGTTTCACGGGGGTCCGCGCGCGTTTGAGGCGGCGGACCCCGCGAGCTTCAGCGGGAACGTGGGGCAGGCGGGGGCGTGCGCACAGGCCTCCACGTGGGCGTGTGGGCGCCTCGGGCTGCCCTCGCCGCCCTCCTGGCCCAGTTGGAGGGCAATCAGAAAGAACTGCGCCAAGTTTTCCCACTTTACGGTTCGATTGAGTCAGGCGAACCCTCGGTACCTCCACGTGGCCCGCGCCCCGGGGCGGTGGTTGCGCGTGGTGCGGTGACGGCTGGAGCTCCGCCCGTGGGGGGCCAGGTCTCCCGCCTCCCAGCCCAAGCGGCAAGGCGCGGGATGGGGCCCCCTGCCCAGAGCCCTGCTGCAGAGGCCAGGCCGGGCACTCCGTGACACCCGCCTCTCCCGCCAACGCCGTCCCCGCGCGTGTTTCTCGTGGATGGTGTTCTGAAGAAGAGGTAGGGCCGTGTCGAGGCTGTGCTGTCAGGTGCAGAGCCCGAAATGGGCACCCCGGTTGTGTGCATTTGTGTGCCATGGGCGGGCCCCTGGATGAAGCCACGCGTCCCTGGGGAGGAGGACGCTCTTGGTTGCTGCGGGAAACGCTGCCGGGCGGTGTCCCGACGGCCAGCGACTCGGGGCCCACGTCTGTCTCGTTGGGCGGCGGCAGGCGGGTGTGCTTGGCGGTGAGTGCCTGCCTGCGGACAGCTTCTTGGGTTGACACCTGGGTGCGAACGCCCCGGGTGGGGGCGGGGGGGAAAGAGCTCAGACCTGCTCCTCTGCCCACCCGATTTCGCTTCCCTGTTACTCTGGAACGGTGGGTACACGTGCTTTCCCTTCTGTCTTCCCTGGGGGTGGGGGAGGGGCAGTTTGGCTGAAGACTGTTGTCTGAAGGTTGGCCGAAGGCTTGGAGAAGGATGCAGGAACCATGAGAACCGAACAGGTCACAAAACATTTTCACAGTCAGACCCTGGAGACAGTGGTGGTTCGGTTCCCGGAGGCAGCAATATAAAAGTGGGCCGTGACCTTTCTCCTGAGGGGGGGTCTTGCCTCCAGCTCGTGGAGAACACCGCGTCTGTGAAGAGCAGGAGGGCCAGGGGTGCCTGCCCTGCCCCGGGACTGCCCCCTGCGTGCGTTCCCCAGTGCTGCCGGCTCCCCAGAGACCACGGCACGGGGGCTGGTTTTATTCACGTCTCTCTGCGTAACTTCCGACAGCACGCTCTCGCTGCATTTGGATTCCCGTGTCCTCAGGTGGGGTCTTGTTAGGGTGGGGGCCTTGGAAGCAGGCTGCGGGGAGACGGTGCCGGGATTGCGGGGAGGAGGGGAGAGGGTGCTGGGGGGGGGGCGGGAGCTCGGAGAGAGGACGAAGCGGCGGGGGTGGCTGGTCTAGCAGATTGTGTTTACGCACAGCTAATGGCCCTTGTTGTGCGTGAGGATCTGTGCCAACATGCTGCTTGCTGGGACCAGGAAACACCGCCATCTCCGCACTCGCAGGGTCCCCCGAGTTCTGGCACTGAAGCAGGAAGGACACGGGCAGGGCACGACAGGTCCGTGCGGGGTTGTTCACCTGGGGCTCAGTCGTGCTAAGGGCACGTGGTTTCAGGGTGCCCACCCCACCCCCACGTCGGGAACGAAAGACCGTGGTGCAGGAGAAAGGGGGCGAGACCCACGGCCTGAAGACGGAGGACAGGCTCGGAAGCTGAGCTCCCCGGATGACCGAGGGACCGAGCAGGCCGAGAGGTGGCCAGCCCAGGGCTCACCACATCCCTGAAGAGGACAGACGGTAACTCACTCACTCACTCACTGTGTTTCTGCTTACATACCCCACCCCTCTCCCCCTTCCTCCCGCCCCACCCCAGGGTCAGGTGGGTTCTGCCCCGCCTGGAGGCAGCCTGGGGGACCCAGCAGGAGCTCAGAGCTCACGGCCCCTCCTCCTCACCGGTGGCGTCCGAGCCAGTGGGTGCACGTCAATAGGCGACTTGGCCGGCCCGGCTAGTTAGTGGCAGGGCCGGGGTTAGAGCCCCTTTTTCCCCTCTTCGGAGCCAGTGACTCTGCCTCTGCGTCCCCCAAGTGGCCACCACTTTTCTTCCCACTCGGCCTGCCGCCCACTGAGAGGTGGGGTCTCTTTCTCTCCGCTCGACCTGGTTTGCGACGTCATCTGACCCGTGGGATGCAGTGGACGTGACACTCTGGGGCTCGGAGCGCAGGCCCTCAGAGGCCTGGCAGCTTCTGCACGCCCCTCTGGGGGCCAGCCCCCACCTTTCCCGAAGCGCGGGCGAGACCACCGAGCGCCGAGGCACACGGGGGAGCAGCAGACACTTGAGGGGCGCCCTCCCGGGCCTTCCAGGCAGCCCAGACGAACGCAGCCGGGCGAGCGACCCCCCAGATCCCGTGGAGCAGAGCCAGCCAGCCGGACTCTGCCCCACCTCCTGGCCCCGAGGGTCACGGGAAGCCGACAGCCGAAAGACTGCTGGTGCCACCCCCCCGCCCCCGGCCCCCCGCCTCACTCTGTTAAAACCCGACTATTGAAATGGACAAAGCAGGACACAAGACCGTGGGCAGGTTTCTGAAGTCTTGTTAAGGGACCTTGAGAACCAACGCTTCCACGGACGTGAACAGCTCTCATCAAGACAAGGCGCTCTTCTGCTTGGAATAACTCGAGCCCTAAAACTGGATGTTAATCAGTTCATTGATTTGCTGATCAACCATCCCTGCCGTGGTGGATTAGTTTATGTGTAGCAGGTAGCTGTAACACGATTTCCCCAGATCTTAACCTTCTGGTTGTCTGATGCCGCATTGCAGGCCACCACCGGAAGCCCCCACGGCTCAAGACGCTGCACCCGACTTCCCTCCCTGCTTTGCAGGTTGGGCAGGGCTGGGGGGGGTGGGGAGGGGAAGGGGAGGGGTCAGCCGGGCTCCGGCTTTGTCATCTCTCCCGCAGGGTGGCTCAGGCTGGCTGGCACGCTCACCTGTGGGCACAGGGACACTAAAACACGTCCCCAGACAGGGGTCCCAGCAGAAGCCGCATCGCATGGTGTGGCTTAGCTGCGGAAGGGAGGTGGCACCCCTCCTGCCCTGCCGACGGCCCCCCCAGCATGAATGAGCAGACCGTGGCGGGGGGTGGGGGGGTGGGGGGTTGCTGAATCGGTGCTGCCGAAATCTAGAAAACGTAACCCCGCCTCACCCAGCGTCCCAACGCCGCATCAGAATTTTATGCTAGGTATGAAATCCTGAAAAACTAACTCCAGGAGCTGTGATGTTTAAATAAAAACATTATTACTAACTGAAACACCTACAAACGTTTGTTCGTTTTCCTTGCACACGACCCGGTTTGGGGACTCTCGTTAGCCCTCTCCCCAGGGAGTTCGGTCGGAGCCGGGGCGAGGGGAGCATGAATAGTCCACTGTTGCTGCTGTTTTGTAAACCTCCCCCCCTTAAAAAAAAATAGTTTCGCTGCTTACAGTTGAAACAAATAGGGTATTCATAGCAAGGTCCAGACATTCTGAATCTCATCTGGCTCTGGCATATCCTAAAGAAAATTGGTTTTGTATGCTCTGTGGCAAGTTTCAGATGAATACTAATAACTTACCTTTCCACGTGCGTGCGCACATGACACGGCTCACTCCTCCCGTGCTCTTAGCCCCACAGGGCTTCCAGCGTCTCGGCCCAGCTTACCTGCTGCTTTGTGTGTGTGTGTGTGTGTGTGTGTGTGTTTAAACCTGGCAATGCCACACCAAAGGTACACGGTGCCTGTCTAACTGTTGCCTAGCAACACTCAGGCCGGGAAGGCGAGTGCAGCCGCACATTGTAATCCTGATAGGGATCATATTGTGCCTAAGACTTAATTAGCCAAATTGAAGTTTTGTGTGAGCTGCAAAAGTAATGTTTCTCTGATTGCGAAAATGTGCCCCGGGACACGTACCAATTAGGAAGAGCTGCAGTGGTACATCTGTAGCATTTTGTAGTTGTTTTGAAACTGTTGCAAGTACAAATAAATACCGAGTAGAAATGCGCCGTGTATTCCTCGCAGGTTTTTGTACTGACGTTAGTTAAGTCCTGTAGCTGCGGCCTGGCTTCTGAACCTGGTTTTTCCAGCTGATCTTCCTAAACTGTGTTTTTAGTGTAACCCAAAGATAGGATTTTATAATTAATCTGTGCCGTCGGCTTTCCAAACCGTCTTTATCGACTCCGCCGAACGCCCGCCCGTGGGCTGCCCCACCTGAGCCCGTGGAACTGTCAGATGTTTTTAAGTGTTTCCACGCTTGTTGATTTAGGGGGCATGATACTCAGGTTTTTTTAATGGTAGTAATATATGATCAGTGTAGAAAACCTGGAAAATACAGTGAAGTCAAAACTACAGGAACAAGTGTGACGGCAAGGGAAACACAGAAGCATGGTGGACAAGCGGCGACCCCAGCCCCTGCCCCGCCCCCCGAAAGAGCACTTTTCTGGGGCAGAAGTGGAGCATTTACCGCCTGCGCGGAGCTAGGACTCTGGTGTTTGTTCCGTGAGGGTCAGGATGGCGCGCCGGCCTCAGCGAGTTGTCAGAGCTCTTCAGCTGCGATTACATCAACAGAATCCGAAAACCAGCTCGCTGTGCGACAGAATGCTCGCGGCGGTGGGACTGGCAGACGCCCCGAGCCTCTCACCGACGTCCCTAGAGAAACATCCGTTTCTAAACACATCTTTTTATTTTTTTTTAGATTTTATTTATTTTTAGAGGGGGGTGAGAGAGAGAGAGAGAGAGAAACATCAATGTGCAGTTGCTGGGGGCCATGGCCTGCAACCCAGGCTTATGCCCTGACTGGGAATCGAACCTGCGATGCCTGGTTCACAGCCCGCGCTCAATCCACTGAGCTACGCCAGCCAGGGCTACACACATCTTTAAGGACTGAAATGTGTAAAAATACATATTTTCTATAAATTCAAAAAGTTGATCCAAATAAGGGATAAAAAGGATACCGCAAAGCAGGATGGAAATACGGACAGTTCAGTACTGGGTACTGGACTCAGCAGGTGGCATTTTAGGGAGGACCGGCCTCTCGTACGTGAGGGCAAGCTCAACAGGGATAAAAAGAATTGAAGACAAACAGCGAGAACTGCACAAGGCCTGGAACAGGACGTGCGTGACGCCCTGGAGTGCAGCTGTCCTTCCCCCCGGGGGAGGGGGAAGTTTAGACCCAAGAGCCGCAACAGAAAATGTTGAAAAATTCAACCGCGTAAAAATAAAACTCCCGCAGCAGAAGGCCACAAAAGCAAGTCAAAAGCAAAGGACAAGGCGAGGGGAAGACATTTGCAGCCCACAGTGCTAATGCAGGTCTCACCTTCCTAACGTAAGACAGCTTTTGCAGCTCGAGGGGGGAAGACTAACAGTCCGACAGAAGCTCTGGAAAGAGGTAAACAGTGGAAAAATGAGCTGGCATCTTTCTCCCGTCGTTCCCACTCAGAGGAAAAAAGCTGGAAGGTTGGTAACACCAAACAGAACATAAACATTCTGCTGTGTCACTGGTGGGGGTGTAGACCGGAACAACTCGTGTGCTGGGAGTTTTGGCAGCACCTCCTGGGTTCCTAACGATCGCCCGCTTTGGCTGCTAGGCCTCCCCCTGTGGCTGTCCTCGTGACGTGAACTTGAACGGGACAAGGTCGTTCACTGCGGAGTCGTCTGCTGGAAACCACCCAGGCGTCCGTCAGCCAGAGCCCGGCCCGGTGGGTGACTGTGCGTCCGCGCGGCTGCAGAGGAGGAGGTGGAAGGGAAGGTGCGGGTACAGGTGCGAGAAGAATCTCCCAGAAGTAACGTCAGGAGAAGGCCCGCGGTGTGCGTCCTGTCTGGGTAGAAAGAGGCAAGCCCGTGTCCGCGTGTGCTGGGGTGTGCGGGCCCCCGCGTGTACACCGGTAATGGGAGCCTCTGGTGTGCAGGTGTCTCCTCCGCGCGGCCCGGGGCGCTGGGCAGCTGGGTGGGGAGAACAGGGCGGGGAAGGGTGCCTGTCCATTTCGGGGTTCCTGGCTGCTTTTCTTCAAGAGAGGACGTATTACCTATCCAAAACTTAAACTTAAATTCATCTTCCTACCTAATCTGAGTACATGGTTACATTCACTTCTGACTATATATCCCTTTCATGATACATTTTCTAAAACTGCATTTTGTACCAGAAATTTAACATCAATTAGGTTTGGTTGAGATTCACTATTGAAAGAGTAAATTTCAAAAATCACTTTAATTGCATACTTGACTTTCTGTACAATTTAGACTTTCTCTGTACAACTCCGACTTTGTGTGCTTCTGCCTGCAACATAATCATTCCCTTCTGTGTACAAATGTGTCAGAACCCTCACCCATCGAGGAATCTAAACTTATCGCTGAAGACTTGTGATCAGCTTGAAGCTTTTATAAGCATATTCAAGGGGTTTTTTTTAAGATTTTATTTTTCAGAGCGGGGAAGGGAAGGAGAAAGAGAGGGAGAGATACATCAACCTGTGGTTGCCTCTCACATATCACCTACTGGGGGCCTGGCCTGCAACCCAGGCACGTGCTCTGACTGGGAATCGAACTGGCGACCCTTGGATTTGCAGGCCAGCACTCAGTCCACTGAGCCACACGAGCCAGGGTGCATGTTGAAGTATTTTTATGTTAAACTCTCCATTTTTTTGCTCACGTGCGTGAAGGTTGACTAAAGTTAATTAGCCTTCTGCCTTTCTCATCCATTCTTCCTCCTCCTGACGTGGACCCGCACCCCAAGGCAGCGAATCCTTCCCTCACGTGCTGAGACGTTGTCTCAGAACATGCAAGGGTATCCTCCTGCCTGTGGAAGATTCTCACCAAACCACACTGTGTTTCACGTAGAGATCTTTTGGCTTTTTACCCTTAAATGCAAGAACTCTTCTTTTTTTTTTTTTTTAACCCTTGACACAGTGAAGATTTTGTCCCAGTCCATTCCAAACATGACTTAAACGTCAAGAACCTCCTGGAGAAAGGCTTCCTCCTCCACCCACTCCCTGCCCTCGGCCGTCCTGCCGGTTTCTGTGGAGACACTTCGCACAGTGATGAGTGACTGCAGAGTTGGCTGTTTCGTGCTCATCTCCCCGATAGAATGCGAGAATGTGAGCCAAGCCCCGCCCATCCCCCAGGCCGAGGACACAGCAACCGAGTGCCTGTGCAGAGTAGATTCTCAGCATACAAGGTCCGGAAAAACTCCAGCCATTATTAATATAGCGAGAACGGTTTGTGTGACGTCGGTGTAACCTGGCAGCCAAGGAGAGAGGACTGGAATGTGCACGAGTGAACAGTGACACCTTCACTGTACTAGTCGGGGGGGGCAGTTGACACTGTTGAGTGAGCATGAGTACCGTGGGGCCATCACATTCAAAATGACTGAGCGAGTAGAGCAATGAGTCTGTATCAGATTTTGCGTTAAGCTTAACTTCCTCCATGGAAACTGTTCAGGTGCTTCAGAAGGCCACAGCTGTGGGCAACTGGTGACTGGCTGCTTCATCAAGACAACACACCTGCTCACGCATCACGTCTCATGCGGAGTGTTTTGGTGAAACAGCAGGTCACCCAGGTGACTCAGCCCCACTAATAGCCCAGATTTGGCGCCCTACGACTTCTGGCTTTTCCCAAAACTAAAATCACCTTTGAGAGGGAAGAGATTTCAGACCATTGGTGAGATTCAGGAAAATACGACAGGGCAGCTGATGGCGACTGGGAGAACCGTGTGAGGGCCCAGGGGGCCCACTCTGAAGGGGACTGAGGCGTCACTGTCCACAGTGTTTCTGGTGTCCTCTGTCTTCCTCAGCAGATGCCTCTGCTGTCCACGGCGCATGGCTGGACCTCCTGGCCAGGCCTCGTGCTCTTGTCGGGTAAGTGAACCAGTGAACCACCTTTGCTTCTTCCCAGCGTCTCCCTCTGCTCGAAATGCGCGCCCCCCCAGGTCAGGGACTGTCTCGAAGGAGCCAGCGTGGGACGGCAGACACTGCGCGGGGGCCACAGGTGTGCCTTCCTCACTCACTCCTGACGCGGTCACGGACCGGCGGCAGTGCTGCTACTGACAGATCCAGGATCCAGCCTCCTCGCAGTGACAGACCTTGACCTTGGCCAGCTTGGTCAAACAAGGGTAAAAGCAAACTTGTAAAACTGTGCTTTGCACCAGTAATCCTGACAGCTACTATTTCTTACCCAAGAACATCGACCAGAGCAACAAGGCGCTGCCCGTCTCCCCGGCGGGCTCTGGACAGGGCGCAGTCCGTGGTTCCCGCCCAGCGGGCCGTGTTTTCGGAGGGGCCGGCCGGACCGAACCGGGTCGGGAATCTCAGACGGTGCAGCGTGTGCAGATGGAGAGTCTATTTTCCACCCAAAATGCTTTCATTTCCCTTGGGAGGTTGTGAAGACAATTTCCTCACCCCGATAAGAGAGCAGATTTTTTGATGTAATCATGTATTTATTTCATGGTTTGCACAAGATGTACCTTTAGTAAATCCAGATTTTTGCAGCCCGTCAAGCAGCCCGTCAGTGTGTGTGATGGCAGCAGGCTCTAGAGCTGCCAAGACCAGCGCTCGCACAGAGCGGCCTGCCGCTCGCTAACTGTGGCACATTAGCATAAGCAGCCCGTTTTAGCAGGAGCGGCTCTCGGAAGCTACACAGAGAACGAGAGGGGTTTTGCGTTTGGATCATTAAAAACTGCCCGCGTGGTGCGCGGTGTCATCGTGAATGTCAGACGCAGCCCAGACCATCGACACAGCCTGCCTGGAGTGGACTCCCTAATGGACACAATCGATCACGATCTTAAGACTCACTGGGAACACTAACTAACAAATACCTATTTTTACGGATTGTTTTTTTTTTTCCTTAAAAGATGCACATCGAATAAAAAACCTCTCAACACTTGTCAGCCCTCCTGTGAACATACCGTGCGCACGGACTGGCACGGGCCGCTCGCCGCCCCCGTGCCGTGGAGTTCGGGGAGAAGCCTGGCCCGGACCGACCGCGCAGAGCGCAGACCTCGCGCCACGGGCCGCTCAGAGGGAGCTGGGGAGCGGGTGAGGGTCCTCGGGGGTGTCTGCGCGGCAGCGAAGATCCGAGTTCCGCAGCCGTCCTCACACTTTACAGCCCCTCTGGCCGGCGGCCCACGGCACAAAACCAAGGTGAGTCTTCCCGAATACCTAGTTCGTTACCTCCATCAGCAAAAGGAATTAATAACTCCACAGGGCAAAGAGCTCTCCGGCCACAGCCTACTCCAAATCCAACCGCAGTGCCACCGCGGGTGCCGGGGCAGCCCTTCAGGGGTGTCTGCGGGACCCCAAACAGGTGCAAACGAAGACAGCCAAAAGCCTGCCTTGCCCACTCCTGGGGCACACATGGGACCGTCAGGTGCACCGTCGTTCACGACCACCGCCCCTGGGCCGAGACGGGGGTTTCCTCCGACAGACTCCGTGAGCTCGGGGCGGGGCCGTTGTTCACCGCTGTCCGAGCCCAGCACACAGTAGGTCTCTGTAAGTGCCCAAAGGCTGAATCCGAGTGCAATATCCAGGGCAGGATCTAAGCACGTGCACTTCTCACCGCCTGTGTGCCCCCAGATAGAGCTTTCCGGGGGTTCCTGTGTGCTGTCACAGGCGCGGGTGTCCGAGCTGCTGGCCGGTGACAGAGTCCTATCTCTGAAAGAGGCACACGGGGTCACATGGGAACTAGACTGATTGCATGGGGGATCACTTTGCACGTTGTATTAATGTCTAGTCGTCACGCCGCACACCGGAGACCACGGTGATGCCGTGGGTCAGCTGTAACTGAGAAAAAGCACGAGCAACCGGTACAGTGTCTGCATCTGAAGGGAGCGGGTGACCGAGGCCAGCGATGACCTGGCCCCCCTCTCTGCGCACTGGGCTTCTGATTTGCCTTCACACACACACACACACACACACACACACACACACGATCAAATACACTCGTTTACCATGTATGCTTTGTGTGTTCCTATGTTCCTGCATGAATACTACACAGGAAAACCCCGGGGGCGCTCCCCACCTCTTCCAGGAAGGGGAGCTGGGCCGCTGGAAGGAAAGGTTGGGGAAGAGACTTTCTAATGACATGCTGTACCGTTCGGACTTTCCGATCATGTTACATGAGTAACCTGGGCAACATTCTTAAAACATTGAGCAGACGTACAGATTTTCAGGCCCCTCCCTGGAGACCCTCACTCATGAATCTGGAGGGTAGGGTCTGGAACACTGCATCTCCCACCGACTCCTGGGAAGCACCTGTGACCAGGACCGTTTGCGGATCAGGGTCAAGGTTAGACTTGGCTTTGGAGACCATGGGATCCAGCAGCTCCCAAGCCAGTGCTATTCGGAGCAGTGGGGGGCGGGGGGGCTCCGCCCGCAGGGCTCCCCCCATCCCCGCCCACCACAGATGAGAAAAAGTCTACCAAGACACGACCTGCTTGGGGGGGGAAAGGTGGCCGATCTCTCACAGGAGAAGGGCCAGGAGCCTGTTCCTCAGTGGGCTTTTATTGGGCTCGTTTACACAGGAATTCAGGTAAAGTTCATTAAACATTGCCAGGAAGTAAGGATCAAACAATAGATAACAAGGAACTCTGAGGGCCTATTTTGAAACAGGGTCAAATAGCTAAAGAGCTGTAAAAAACTTGAAGGAACAAACTTACTTCTTCCTTGGACCCTTATCATTCAACTGAAAGCATTCTAAACAAAGCAGGTTTCACAGGATTTTACATATTCTTTCTGAGGCCTGATTGCCCAGGGAACCCGCCCTTTCCAGCACAGGGCTGCACCACCCTCTGTCATTGTTTCAGGCTTAGGTGGAGCAGGGGAAGTAAGGCAGCCAAGAGATAAGGAGATTTTCTCACAGACCTTGAGGACTCAGGCTATGTCAAAGCTGAGAGGCGAGGGTCCATCACCCCCTTTTGCTGTACCCCCCAAAGTCCTTCCTTGGGGGCCTCCCACGTGATCGTGCCTGTCTTAGGTCGTTCCCCCCTTGGGGAATCTTACCCATCACTGGCTAACCGACCAAGCTTTGGGGGCCAGGCAGGGTGAAGTAAAAGGAGCAGAAGCAGTCTCCTGCCAGGGAGATAAGCTTTTGTCTCCTTGGTGGCTTACCGTCCAAGGTCGCTCCCTCAGCCTTAGCCTTGGCGGGGGTTACAGCTTCTGAAACCAGGCAGGGCAGTCCCCAACAGGGTAGCAGGCGGTTCCTCTGCAGGCACGGTGGCCAGCTCGCCTCGAACCACCAACCCGCTGAGATCAGTAGGGGACTGTCCTCTCTGTCATCTCTGCATAGAAATGTCTCTGTCACCACGGTGGGCAGCCCCCCCGGGACTCTCACCCTCTGGCGTCCCCTCCCACACCGCCTGGGGTGACCTGCACAAACAACAGGCTACGGTGGCAGCGATGGCACATGACCTCCGACACCAGATAGAAAAAATAGGCTGTGGCCTCTGTCTGGCCCTCTCCTGGACAGCCCCTTCTGGGGACGCCAGGCCGTGAGGACACGCAGGAGGCTGCGTGGTCACTAGATCCCTCCGCCGACAGCCCGCGCCGACTGGACAGCTGTGCGAATGGGCCGCCTCGAGAGTGCATTTCCAGCCGCAGTCGGGCCTGGAGGTGACGCGGAGCTCAGCCGGCGCCTCGGCCGCGGACGCGACCGGGGTCCTGGGGCGGCACCACGCGCTCAGCGTCCGGTCCAGCCCGCTGAAGCCGTGCTGAGTGGGCCTCGTCCGTCAGCACTCGGGACGGCTGTGCGCGGGAGGGCCTGTCGCGCAGCCTGGGTGGCTGCCCCCTCCCGTCGTGTCTGCCCACAGGTGCGGTTCCTGCCACTGCACCTTGACCTTCCCGCTGGCGGCGCGCCCCCCAGGCCTGCGGCTGCGGCTGCGGCGGCACGTTTGCCGTCCCGGGGGAGTCGGCGGAGGGCGCCGACACTGGACTGCCTCGCTCAGGCGGGGCCACTCCCAGGACTGTCACCCCGCGCGCCGGGACCTGCAGGGCTTGCCCGCGGTGGGTCTCCGAGTTCGGCTTGAGGGGGAGGGCAAAAGCAGGGGACCCTCTCTGCAGTGGCGAGGCCCTGAGCCCCACCCCGCCGCCCCGCCACGGAAGGCCCGCCCCCCGCCTCGGGCGTCCTCCGGGCTGCGGACGCCTCTGTGGCCTCTCCCTGGGAACGGACTGTGTGGGGCTCCAGGCCGAGACGCAGGGTCCGCTCACCGTGCTGTGCGGGACGCCGGCCTGGACGGTCTGGTTTCCACGCCGACAGACGACGTCTCCCAGCTCTCACCTGGCGGATCGCTGCGACCTCACCGGTGTGGGGAGTGCCCCACGCGCACCCCCCGCCCACGCCCTAGGACTGCCGCGTGGGGGGCCGGGGTCACCGTGGATTTCACTGACGAATTATCAGCTAAAGTCTTACACACACGTGTGCATCTGGCTCGTGCCAGCCCGTTTCTCACGGTCGCGGTCACTTGGCTCTGCTCTGCGTGCATGCGGGGTCGCTCAGGAAGCCCCGCCGCCCCCGCGCTGTGTCATCTGCCCGCCTCTAGAGGCAGGGGCCGGTTTGCGAAACATCAGATGGAGCCAGGAGCCCGTGGGATGCGTGTTGCTTGGTGTTGCCTAGCAACACGGCTGGGGCACAGGATCGCAGCGAGGGTGGAATGCACGCCCCCAGGAGAGGCACACTACTCACAAACACGGGCGCGCGCTCACGCACACGGGCCCACAGCCCGGCAGGCAGGCCGCGTGTGAACTGGGAGCGCAGAAGTGCCGTCACCTGCAGCACCGTCTTCAGAGCACCGCGGAGTAAACACGCGAGGCGGCCGCGAGGCGCTCTGACAGCGACACGCGCGGATCTGTCGCTCAGAGGGAAGTGTGCCCGCGGAGGGGCTTGACGGCCCCCCCCGCCCCCCGCGGACGCGAGCCGCGTGGAGGCGAGCGACACCCTCGTCCGCGGGATGGGCCGGTCAGTCCGTGAAGTCGCGGGCAGAGGTGTTCGGCGCACAGAAACAACTTGAACCTCTCCGCGCACCCTTCGCTCGGAACACGGGGTTCACCCTCGGTTTTCGCGGGAGCCAAGGGGGGTGGTCGAAGGCACGGCCGTCGAGGTCGGACTCTCGACTTCAGACTCGGACTCCGCCTTCTGCTGCTGTGTTCTCGGCCCTGGCCTGCACCCCCCCCCGCCCCCCTCCCCGGACCGGGAGCGACAGCGGCTGCCAGCACAGGGGGCCGCCGTGAGGGTGGGGGGGGCGAGGGCACCCGGGCGGGCGGGCGGGCGGAGGAGAGAGTCGGCCTCCCTGTCCCGGCAGCGCTCCCGTGCGGGAGGCCTGGTGACTGCCTGTCTCCGGGCACCGAGCCGCCAGGGAACCCGCGTGGGTTCCTGCGGGGTCCTCCCGGGAGGGGGTGGCCTGCGGTCCCCTTCCCTGCCTGGAGGGGAAGGTGAGGAGTCGCCTGCCCCCTCCTCCCCTGGCTGGGCAGTGGCTCCCCCGGAGCCAGAAAGCCAGCCCGCCCAGCTCTGGGACCCGGAGGCCTCAGACTCGCGAGAGGAGGAGCTCGCCCCAAGGTCAGCTCCGGGGCCCTCCCGGGCAGCACGCGCCTCCCTCCTGCGTCCCCTTTTCCTTCGTCCCAGACCCTGGGCACCCACCGCACAGCCCGGTTCTGGCGGAGCGGCGATTTCCGAGACACACGTCCCTCCCCGAGGCTACGCGGGGCGGGGGGATGGCAGGCCGGGAGCCCGGCCACCCGCTCTGCCGGGCAGGCCCCGGCTCCGGCGGCACTGGCCTCCAGGATCCAGGTGAGCGAGACCCGGAGCAGCTGAGCGGCCCGCCCCGCCCCGCCCCGCCCCCAGGGACAGGCGCGCAGTGAGCTGGGCGCCCGCCCGCGCAGCACCGAGCGGACACAGCACCTGGCGCTGCTACGGCAGCGGGAGCACCGGGTGACCCGGGTTCAGCTTGAACAGGAAGATGTGGGTCAGAAACCAGCGTTTTAACGATTTTTCATTTATTCCTAATATCCTTTTTCTTCTATGAATCTGGGGATTTTTTTTCTTTTGAATTCTTTTGAACAGAATTAAATTACAAGTGCTGTGGTTACTTACTATGGGTTAGAAAATTCCATTTATTGAGATCAGAGTCACTTTTCGTCTTTGGCTGTCAAGTTCTCAGGACAACAGCAAGTTCGAAAATGCAGTGGATGTGTGCGAGCAACGAAAAGATGAACTTCCTAGGAATAAACTTAAGAAGTGAGGAGTCTGTGAAGGAGACTCGTTTCCCAGCTCCTGGGCGTCAAAAAGAAGACTTGAACGACCAGGAAGGTATCCGTGTTTTTAGTTAAAAAGAAAACTTTGTAAAAATCAGTTCTCCCTAGGCCATCTGTCAATGCAAACACACCTCAGCTGAAAACGACGGTTTTTCAGAGACGGTGGGTGCTGATGTAACACGGATGCAGGGGAACCGACTGCAAGGACGCGCAGGGCCACCTCGCAAACGGACGGCGCGGCCGCCTGGCCCTGTCCGCAGGGAAACCGTGAAGCGGCGCTGGCTAGAGTGGGCGCGCGCATGTGGGTGCCGGGCCGGGCGGCCCAGGGCGGCAGGCGGGGGCGCCAGTGCCGGGAGCAAGGCAGCGGGGGGCGGCGGTGTCTGCCCTCCGTGCAGAGAGGGGCTGGTCAGTAGCGGTGCTCCAGCAGCGGGCTGCGCTCTGGGCGGAGACGCTGACGCTGGATCCAGACCATCCACCTTCCGCCACAAGCTCCAGGCGGACTAACATCGTTGGGAGCAGAGAAAGCGGCCCTGCTGGTGCGGCTCAGCGCGCTGAGCGTCCGCCGGCCCGCGAACTGGAAGGTCACGTGTTCGGTTCCCCGTCAGGGCACGGGCCTGGGCTGCGGGTGCAGTCCCCAGTTGGGGGCGCGCAAGAAGCGAGTGATCGATGTGTCTCTCCCTTCCTTCCCCTCTCTCTAAAGATAATAGAATATTAAAAAAAAAAAATTAGAGGAAGAGAAGAAGACTCTCACTGAACACCCTGAGTGTGCGGAATAAATTGTTGGGTAATTTTTATGTAATCTTATAGTTGGCCCTTGGAAGTATAAAAAAAAGCCAGAATCCCTAAAAGATGGATGTTTGCATAAAAACAAAACATTTCTATATGGCAGTAACAACAAAAAATTGACAAAATTGAGAGACAATACTTTTTTTCAGAAAAACAAAGAAATGGGAAAAAAGCTCCAGGTCACTCATAAGAAGACACCACTTTCGCCCAGCAGACTGGGGGGGCAGCGAGGGACACGCACGGTCGGACGGGGACCCCCGCCGGACTGCCGGGAGTCGGGCCCGCACGCCGCGGTGCGGCACAGCGAGGGCATAACCGGGCGCAGGTGTCGCTGCTCCGGCTGCGCTCGCAGGTTTGTCGCGTGTGTGCTCGAGGGCGGGAGGACCCCGGGGGCACCGAGTGACTGGACGCGACCTTCTGTCACGGCCACCTAAACGCTCATCGGCAGGAGCCTTGGTGAGCAGACTGCCGTGGAGCGCTACGCCGCTGCTGGAAAGGGCGAGGACACTTCGCACGCGGATGCGGAAGGGCTTCCGAGACCCACCACGCAGTGCAAGCTGAACGAGAAACTGCAGCCCTGGTGGATGGAGCGCGGGCTGCGAACCACAGGGTCGCAGGTTCGATTCCCAGTCCGGGCACATGCCCGGGGTTGCGGGCCAGGGCCCCAGTGGGGGCCTCACGAGAGGCAACCACCCATCAGCATGTCTCTCCTCCTCTTCCTCCCTCCCTCCCTCCCCCAATCAAAATAAATATTAAGGAAAACTAAAACATTCTGGGACGCGTCTCATTGTGCGCAGCTCAAAAACATTTATAAACACACTCGTGTAACTTTCGCCAAACCCGCTAGTTCCCTTGTCACTTCAGTCGCTGCGTCCCCGGCCCCAAAGATACCCACGTGGAGGTGGCCGTCGGGATGGACGGGCGTGACTCACTTTGACTGCCGATGAGCTTCGTGGCCACGCCTCCTTGGCGTGTTCCTTCCGCCCGGCTTCCGGTGTCCAGCCTCGCGCCCCCCATGCCCGCCTGCATGGTGGGGAGCAGCGGCCCACCCGGAGGCAGCGCCCAAGTCCACTCTGTGAGCGGCCGCAGGCCTGCAGTCCATTCCGCAGCCGGTGGGCACCGGAGGCGTTCCCGTCCGGCTGTTCGCGACAGTGCAGCGGCAAGTAGGCTGGTTTCCGGGGCGCAGGTGCACACGTTTTACGTATATGCATGCACCGCGCTCGCTGCACGCACCACGCACACTGCACGCACCGCGCTCGCTGCACGCACCACGCACACCGCCGGAGTGGGATCGCAGGTCGCTGGGCGGAGGCGGCAGTGGCTCCGGGGCTGGGCGTGGTCAACGTCGGGAAGTGCGCAGCTGCGCCGAGCAGTCTGCTCCCTTACTTCCGGTTCACGTCTACGTCGAAGTTAACCTGGGAGAGTGCCGGCCCCCGAAGACCAGCCACAACCAGGTGGAGAACTAATTAACTGAACAATTGCAACAATTGCCAACCAGCGGATTTCCCCTCCAGACCCCGCGCCGTTGCTTTAAGGACGGGTCAAGCTGCCGGCTGGGAGACTTAACTGTTTCAGCAGCTGAATTCCCATCTGTGCTTCCTGTGGACTGGCGGGCGGGTCACGTGGCCGCGGCACCTCGCTGGCTGGGTCACAGAGGCGCGTTTTCTGGGACACGCTCCTTACTCAGAAAAACGTGATCAAAAGCAGTAGACAGAGCGGTGGCAGGCGGCCTCCGTGGGCGGAGAGCTCCAAAAAATAAGAAGGGCCACACGGCTGCCATCAGGTTCCAGCGACTTCCCTACCTAGCAGTCCCATTATAAAGAAAAGTCACAGAAAATAGAGGTTTCCCTCGAGGGCACTTTCTCTGGTCCCAGGCCCCTGTAGCTGGGACTCCTGCACCTCTCGCGCCCACCCCATTTCCCCAAGCCCCGGGGTTGTGCGGACAGCAGGCTGTCGTCCTCCCCCCTCCCCGGAACATGCAGAGAGCCGCGAGTGCGCCTGCAGGGCGGCCGGGGGACGGTGAGGCCTGCTCGTCCCACTGGAGCCCCGTCCCACCCATCAGTTATTAGGAGCCGGCAGAGAAGAGGCCCCCACAGGGGCCACTATGAGTCATCAGTGGCCCCAGGGAGCCAGGGTCACACATGGGGCTCTGTGGTTTGCAGCTGCCACCCTCCCGACCACCGGCAAACTGCAAGTTGAATGTGTCAGTCCCTGTCTCCTGCTGGGCCCAGTTTAAGGTGGAGGTTTGTTTAAGAAGAAGGAAGACAGAGAAGGGGAGTGAGGGGGAAGAGGGAGAGGAGGGGAAGAGGGGGAGAGACTAGGGTAGGAAGGGCACGTGTTCCAGAAGACCCTAAGAAACATTGCCCCTCCCCCTCGGCCGGAGACTTCCCAGGTCCTGTCTCCTGCCCACCCCGGCCGGCTCCAGGTGTGGCGTGGCCGTGTCCCCGGGGTTGGCTCTTTGACTTTCTTTAGAAACGTTCGTACCTCCCTCAGCTTCCCAGGATCAGTGACAGCCTGCTAGCACCAAGCCACTCTCCGTACCCGCCACGGTCCCCCCTGTAGGACAGAGTGTGACAGTTCGGAGCCAAAGGCAAGTGCAGAGAGGACCTGTCCCTGCACCCTCGTAACTGAGCCACACGCAGGAGACTCGGCGAGGACCCGGAGCCGTCCCACAGCAGCCCCACGTGGCCACCTCGCCCAGGGCGGTGCTGTGGGACGGCCATGCTCGCTCCCACCGTTAGAGGCCAATGTAACGCGTGTCCCAAAGTTCATGCAGGGAGAGCGCCGGCCCAGAGCCCCGGGGCCGTGGGTGCCTTCGGCCTCCTGCAGACGCTGTATCACTGAGGGTCCCTCCTGTGTGGCAAAGCCCTTGGCTCTCGGAAGCCATGACCAGCATCCTATTTTAATTAATGAAAGTCTCCTTCCCTCTACATTCTTGAAAGAGAACAACCCCCAGCTCCGTGTCCATTTATCTTGAAAGGAGCACTTATCTTGAAAGCTTTTTGGAGACAATTGCCCTCCGTCAGCCTCCCGTGAGGTGGCTAGCGTCTGCCACCCCCCTCTCATTGCCAGGGGAACTGGGTGCGTCGAGTGCTTTGCTGAAGGGCACGTCCGGAGTCGGGGACGAGCACGGGGCAGAGGCGGGACTCGCCGTCCCCGGCGGCCTCGCCTCTCTCTGAACTGCCATAAAAGTAGGGCATCGGGACTCCTGGTGAGTGGACGGGAGCCCCGCGGTGCTCTGGGGGTTAAAGGTGACCTGGTGGCTGCATATATTAATGTTAGTCATTGACTTACTGCCAGAAGCCATTCATTTACGAGATACTCAGCCTAACAGGAAGTATTTCCTTAATTTTCCACTGATGGTAATAAAACACTTCCCTGTGTGCGTGTGGGAGGGCGGTTCACCGGACTCCAGAGGACAATGGGGCCGGTCTCAGCCGCAGTGCAAACTCCCTGTCATGGCCTCCCTTGGACAAGGGCCACCTCACCCCGCCCAGGAGACCCCCTCACCCCCGCCACCCCGGTGGCTCTGCAAGGGAAGCACGCCCCGGTCCCAGCGCTCACCCCGCATCCTGTCTGTCCTTCAGCTCCGCCTGTTATCTCCCAGCGTCATCTGGAGTCACCCCCTGTTTCCACACCTCTCTGGGTCTCTTCTCTGAAGGCCTTATCTGACACCATCGTCTCTCTTCCGCCTCGCTGGCTAGCCCTGTGTCCCCCTGCTTAGATCACCAGCTACT